TGTTTTTTGGGACATCTCCCACCCATGTTATTCCACCTGGGCCACCTGGGCGCCTGCCTCAAAGATGAGCGGCGCGGACCCCTCCAGCCGCGTAGGCACTGCCAGACATTTTTTGGAACTTTGGACAAATCTAAAACAATCTTTCTAGAGCTTTCTTTATCTCACACGAAATTGTAGGAAATGAAAGATAAAAGATTTGGTCAAAGATACAAACAATATTTCAAATACCCATCTCCCACAAAATAAGGACATAATATATTACAATCATTTTCAAAAGATTTTGTAACTAACCAAAATAACACTTTTTAAAATTTAAAAATAAAGAATAGAGGAGGTGAGCGTGCCACCTCATGTGTGAAGTGTGGGCTGGGCCCCATGGCTCCACGCCCCACCTATGTGGGTGTGGGTCACACATGCGAGCTTTGTCCACTCTTTCCCTTTGTTTCCATTCTAATCCATACCACAGCCAGGCTGCAGTAAAAGTAAGGAATTCGTTTTGTTTGTGATGGTTTCGCAAAGTTTCTGTAGCTCCCCCGCTCCAAGGATAAATTGTCCTTTTGGTGCCTCAAACATCCATGGGCCCTCATGTGTTCCACTCCACTCCTCCATAGTTCCAAAATTTTCCCTTTTAAGGGTTTTTATGGCTAAAATTAATTTTAAAATTTCTGAAAAATTTCTAAAATTCACAAAAATATTTATAACATTGAAAACAAAATGTCTAAAAGTGAATTGGTACCAGCGTGTTTGGAAAAGTAACTATCAGGGCACTCCATCTTACCCAATAATTGTGATCCTCGACTATCTTCTCAAACAAACCCAAGAGACCCATGAACCACAATCTCATATAGGAGCTCATGACTGGCTCGTCAAAGTTGGCCAATAAATAGTGGAACCACATTCTTGGAATATGGATTGTAGGTTCTCCCCTTAAGAGTGAAAAATACGCACATATCACTATAGTGCAAGGGGACTCTCCTTATGCGCATCTAAACATATCCTTTTACAGGGTTGCTTCTCGATAATGTGGTTGTCATGTGTACATGCTGCATAAAAGTTTGTTGAGGATTTAGCCTTTTGCTCTCATAGGCCTACATTAAAGTGTATAATCCACTATAATTCTTATGTATATGCTCTCGAGACCTCCCAATTAAATTGGGAACTGTTGCTCTGAAGACCTTTAAAGGCCAAAAAATTCCAACATGATGCATATTTAACAATCTTAAAAATCTCTTTTCTTTATAGAACATGGATTTAATAAATATAGCTTTCTTTTTTTCATATGCTATTATTACTTTCTTTTGCTTAACTGATATATCTATTGTTTCTTTCCTTTAAAAATATAAAGCATATGAATATGTTAAGCTGTTGACCAACTCCTATTGGCATGGGTTGGCTCCCCCACCATGTGATCATGGCTAGACCATGATCGTGCTCCATGAGTTCAAATTGCATCTGTAGACTAGGTTCGCCACCCATGTTAGGAGATCCCGATAACTTAGTTGGTTCCTAAAACCCTTGAAAGCCAGAATGGATGCATGAGTTAGCAGAGTCACCAATGTGTGTTTGTTTTGTGTATGTGTGGAAAAAGATTTGGTCCTCTCTACATCTTTTTTTAGGGTATTCGAGACATCTATTTAGGCCCAATTTTCGCACTTTTATTCTCTTGGATCTGGTGAAGAAGATCATGTAAAAAAAATAAAATCATAGAAGCCCTAGAAAATCATTTTTTGAGGAGAGAGTAAATGCAGTGAATAGGGGGTGCCAATTTCATGTGGTCTGAACGGGTTAGATCAAGGCCTTGGGGGGATTTGTTCGATTCCAAATTTTGTAGATTGCCTCGTCATAGAAGAAATTGTTTTTTGTGAAAAACCGAATTAGTCTTAAAAGGATATCGATTTGTCCCTCAAAAAATGGATGCTCTGTATTCATTGCTGGGATGGGTTTTCTTGAGGCACCACTAGGGTGGCGCTAGGATGAGTACGGTTATTCCCAAATTTGGGGTCCCCCTAGTCATGGTTTCGAGCTAGGGTGGACACTGCAGTGGTCCGTCCTTGCGAGGGCCAAACTTTTATGTACATGCACTTTCAAAAACTTTATTAAATAAGATACAAAAATATCTGTTTGCATTTTTTTAATATCATATACACATGCATAACTGATTAGAACTTATGTGTTTGTTCTTCTTGGATTTTAAAACTAATGAAAACTCTTCACACAGTTTCTCTCTCTTCCCTCTAAAAATAGACTTCCCTCATAAAGAAATGAGTTTATTTCTACCTGTCTCACATATCTGTCCCTCTCCCCCCTTGACATCTTACATAAATCTGCATGACCTTCTTAGTTACTATTTAATTTCGTTAAATTGTATTTCTCTTTATTCATAATATCTTTTCAAATATTATTTGTCACTCTTCTATTAACCTCTTGAAAAAAATATTATTTGTCACTTTTACGTCTACCATTGATCTCTCTCCTTGAGTGTATGTTCCTGCATATTCAATGAATATGCTATTCTTTCAAGGGTGGGCTGGTGCCTATGTATGTGCAGCACCAGGTGCAATTGCATATATTATCTAAACATCTGGATATTTTGACTTCCACAAAAACATTTTAGCTTGTTCTACTGGATTGAATTTCTTGTCCCTTTTTCTTTTATTGAATGTAAACTAATTCAGTGTTTGGTTCCCCTGATCACTGCCATTACAAGTATTGCCAAATAGACTCTCAACCCGACGTTACTTCTCTCTACAGTATTCATCACTTTCAGAAACAGTTCCTAAGTTAAAATTTTGAGATTTAAAACCCAAGCTTGCGCATGTAATAATTGGCTTGCAGCCTTCATCATTTCCTGCTATAAGTAGGTATGGGATGTTAGACCCCCTGAACCTTGAATCCTATTATTCATGTGATCAAGTCATGAGAGAAGGGATCAGACTCCCATGGCCAATGGGGACAAAATCCCTCATGGTAAATGAGTGTGGTCCTAAGTGATTGAGGATCTTATTCTCCCCATGGTCCTACTTTCAATCTGTCTGATTGAGGGTCTGGACCTGGACCGCCTACTGTCCTGCAACTACGATCTAGCCTTCTTCACTCCTCTCCTGCACCGTTCCCTCAGTTTTTTAAACTCTTAACCTCTTTGAAACTAATGTTTCTTTGAAAGTATAAAATCTAGTGGTTCTGAGGGAGAATGCTTATTTTTTCATTGCTAAAGCTGGAGTTGTTCTGATTCAGCAGTAGATACTATATACTCCAACCAGCAGGTCCTTTTTGGCAACTTTTTGAGCTTAGGTCCTACTTTTTGTTTTTCCGATGGCTATCTCCTTTCTGTATACTGGATTGTACAGGTTATCACCCATTTTTGTACAGGTTCTGTTGGAAAAGCATTTTTTTGGATGCTGTAATGGGCACCCATCCTGCGGGCTGCCTGATCCTTCTTGCAACTCTTTCATACTCAATACAAGTTAACATTTTCGAAAGAAAGAAACTACTGTTTCTTTGATTCTGTCTCATCTCATATTCATGCACTTGGGCCCTTCGCCTAAGCTCCATTGATAAGGTATGAAGAAGAAAGAACCTCCTGGGGTAATGTCTTCTTCTTGGCTATTGTTGGAGGATACTTTTCCTACCCAATGGGTTATCTCCAACTCACAGGATTTGGCTTCCCAGCTGGCCACTACCTTTTTTTACAAGGGAAGACAGTTGAGCATATTTCTATCCATGGTTCTTTTGCATCGCGAGTGTTATGAGAACTTCTGAGTGTTAATTGTCCTAGTTTGGCAGCTTTTGATTGTGTTCCATCAGATAATGTATTGCACATTTTGAGCTCAATTCCGTTGTTCCCTTTGCACATGCTTCTTAAGGAGTGGTATGGCAGTCTATTTGATTTCTTGGAGCTGATGGACTGGATATCCATTGGGTTTGGGTCTTCATCAACTCCACTGATGGAGAGGGTTCATCGCAGGTTTTGGACAACTGGATGGTAGTTGCTGGAAGTTTATCCTTTGGGTAAGGCTGCAGTGCACTTGGAATACTTCTATTTGGGTTGCTTCAAGCATTACTTGAATGGGTACTCTAATTGATATGGCAGGCTGCCTATTTCATTAGGGTTAGTGTTGGATGGATCCTATACTGCTGTACATGCCTGGGGTTGACAGAGGAATGTTCTATTGAGGTGAACACTATTTCCAATGTATTAGGAGTATATGCCGATCATCTCTGTGTGTGTGCGCATGTGCATGCGCATACTTCCATGCTTCCAAATATTCCAAAGATCAGCCATAAGTCAGCCAAAAGAAGATTCTAGCATGGTCATGGGGCCTCATGATGCATTATCACTTATACCAGATACTAGTCTGGAAATATTTTATAGCCCTCTGGGGAACCATAGTTGTGATGTTATGTTATCCTTGTTAAGTGTTGCTCCTATTTGCTATTGAAATCTTTGATTTCTCCATCAGAATTAAAGAGTGAAAATATGTATTTAGGGCATGTACTTAGGCTCCTTTTGGGCATCAGAATTGTATTTGTAATTTGTTTACTAACATGACATGTTTTCTCCTCCTTTAACGAAACCTTGTATTTTAAAACCAAAGGAAGAAACACACCACTATCAAGTTATCTGTTCAACTGAATTTAATATGTTAGTTTTCATAAGCTAATACTTTCGTAACAGTCAAATCTCTGATCCCTTCCATTAATATGTGATATTCAGTCAACATACATTGGGATTGGACGAAATATGAACTTCGCATCAATTGATATATTTTCCACATATGTAGCTTCTGAAAGCATTAAGAAAAACTCGGGAATTGCTAGAAAAACTACTAAACTAGAAGATGTTGGTTCTTTCCCGGTGGCACCTTAATTTTCTTAAGCTAATAGTTTCAAAATAGTCAAATCTCTGATCGCTGCCATATATATGTGATTTCAGTCAACATGCATTGGAATTGAAATCCAATCCCCAATTATGAACTTCCAATTGATATATTTTTCAACAGATGTAGCAGCTGAAAGTGTTAAACAGGACTCCGGAATTGCTAGAAAAACTGCTAAACTCGAAGATGTTGGTTCTTTACCAGTGGCACCTCTGAAGAACGAAAATATTCCTGTTTCTAGTCATTTGTCAGGGCAGACCAATTCTTATGACATGGCAAAAGAGGGGTTCCATTTTCATACAACAGAAAACATAGAAGAGAGAGTACGTGTGCCATCCAGTGAGCTCGCTACTGCAAGAAATCTTGATAAAATGGAAACCAAGCAAGTAAAGGGAGCTCTCCCCGAAGGCTTCTTTGATAACAAGGATGCAGATCTACGAGCACGAGGCATTGAACCTGTTAAGCTTGATATCAAGTGAGGTTTTTCCTGTATTTCTAGATTTATGCATTTATTTTGTTCAATTTCTATAGTTGCATCATGCATCGTAACCTTCTTAACCTGGAAACTTCAGTTTGTTTTTATGCTATGCATCGTTATTATGATTGAGCACCTTTTTTGATTTTTTCTTTGTGTAGCTAGGATGTATATCTCTGTGTGTGTGCGTGCATGTGTGTGCGTATTGAAAGGTGTGGCTATGTAGAAATCAAGATATTAAATTCAAAAATTTTCTTTTACTTTTATTTTAAATACCTGAAATCCACTTACGTGGGTCACAATTTGTTGTTGTAAAATTAAAATAATGCCCTAGATACGATTTAGTATTTTTATTTTTATTGCCAAGGGAAATAAAAACTATCCAAGAGCTTTAAATTAACTTCCACCTTAATTTTTAGCACAAAATAAGTTCTTGAAAATTTACAGAAAATAGGAAATAATACTATAAATTAATTTAGAACTACCGGGAAGGCTTGCTGGAAAATCTATGGAGTTATCCTACCAAGACTTGGTACACCTTATGCCCGATTCCCTGACCAATGACGTACTTTTGCTATTTAAGATATTGCTGAAAATTTTGAGATTGAGAAGCTTTGTAGGCAATACTTCTTTTTTAGGGTTTTAGAAAGCTAAAAAATAAACTAGGATTTATAGAAACCCTAGTAGAACAAATTAGAACTGAATTTGGGAGTTGTTCTCTCTACGTTGGGCTTTCTCCCTTCTTTTCTTCAAAATACAACAACTCTCTTTTTAATTTTAAAGGTCCTCATTTTCTTTATTTTAATGGAGGCTACTGAAATAAGGAGAGAGAAAGAGAGAGAGACAGAGACGTAGCTCTTTATGTATGGCAGAGGGTGGTGTGAGATCTAAAGGAGAGAGAATTTTAGGTGTGAGAGAGAGAAGATCTAGTGGTTTGAAAGAGGTTCAAACTAGATCCTTTTATAGAAAGAAATCTATGTCCTAAGTTGAATATGATTCTTTCTAAATATTGCCATTTTCGACCGAGAGAGATTTAATCAGAGTCATCCATCCAAAAAATCAGCCATCATGATTTTAGGTAGAAAGATAGGAACTTTATCTCCTTAGACTTTGACCCAAATCCAACTCCTATTTAAATTTAAATCCAATCAAATTTAAACATTATCTCGATCTTCTATAATCAAGGAAAATCACAAATTCAAATAAATCCCATTCGAATAGAAATCAAATCTTATTTGAATAAAAGATTTCCTATCTTCTCTGTTTTAAATTTAAAACCATTAAAACCAGAAAGTGAAGCGTGACCCCCCCACCTTTCCTAAAAACGGGGTGTGGCCCTTCTTTACCAAAACAAGTGGCATGGGAGTTATATCTCCTTAAAATAGTGCATGCCACCTTTTATGCAAAAAAGGTGGTGTGCCACTGAATTGAACAAAAAAACAATTTTTTTAAAGAAGGTGGGGGCGTGCCCCTTTCTCCCCCAAAGTGGCATGGTGAAACTTTTGGGGTGGTCCCCTATATGCAATGAAAGTGGCGTGCCACCCTAGAGATCATGTGGGCCCCACATAGGTGGCACACACATGGGGCTAGATCCTTGGTCCCCATATGTGTTATATAAAGTTCTAAAATTTCAGAAATACCCTTCTAATAGAAAAATTACAACAAAAATAATAATTTAAAATTATAAAAAAGTATTTAAAAATCAAGGAAACATTTATAATACCGAAGTAAAATATACTAGGAGTGGAGAATCGGTCAAAATTAGCGACACTAAGGCTCCACTCGGCCCAGAAACCTTGATCCAGTACTGTCTTTTTATCTAACCCAACAAAGACCCATGACCCACAGTTTCAAAGCAGGAGCTCATGATTGGCTTGTCAAAGTTGGATAATAAATAGTGGAATCAAGATCTTATAATGTGAATTTCAGTTACCCCCCTATATGAGCAAGTCTAACACTTGTCATCACAGTGTATAGGAGGCTCTCTCTATGGCCATGTATGCGTGTCCCTCTATAGGGCTACTTCCCAGTAATGTGGCTGTCATGTGCACATGCCTTGCAGAAGTTTGTTGAGGCTTTGGCCATTGCTCTCATAGGCCTACAACCGCATACAAGAGACCACACAGTTCTCCTAGCTTACAAGCATGATCCCTGGGCATCTCTCCGACCTCAACAAGGGATGACCCACTGCAAACCCTTCTCGGTAGTGCTACATGCCTATGGCCAAGGGTTTTGGACATGATTAGAGCCATAAATTGCCCAACCGGTAGTCAGTCAACACACACTCCTACTGAAGTGTGTATTCCACTATAAAATATCATTTTTACATGCTCTCTAGGCCTCCAAAGGCAACAAAACCAACATCTCCCACTTAGCCTTTGAAGGCCATACAATCACTCCCTCTCAATTTTTCTCAAGCTCATCTCATACAAATGTTTGGCAAAAAACCAACATCTCCCACAAGAAAGTTTTTGTCTCCAATACGAGACTTAACGAACTTCTGGCAATTAATATGTCATTCATATATAGAGAGATGAAAAACTATGCCACTCCCTATGACCTTGACATATATACAGTAGTCCTCTTAGTTTAACACAAAACCAACAGATGACAAGGACTCTTGAAACTTATTGTACCACTGCCTTGATGCTTGTTTAAGGCCATAAAGGGACTTATTAAGTTTACACACTAGGTTTTCCTTTTCCTTTTCTATGAAGCCCTCTGGTTGTTTTATATAAATTTCTTCTTTTAACTCCCCATTCAGAAATGCAGCGTTAACATGCATCTGGTGGAATTCGAAGTCGAAATGGGATGCTATAGCTATTAAGATTCTAATGGAAGGGAATTTTGCTACAAGGGAGAATGTCTCATCATAATATATTCCTTCTTTTTGGGTGAAGCCTTTAGCAACTAATTTGGCTTTGTGTTCTCTAACTTCCTTTCTGAGTTTAATTCTTCTTATAAATCCACTTGCTGCCTTTGGGTTTTCTATAAGGAGGTAGTTTCACTAGTTCCCAAACATTGTTTAGTTTGATTGCATTAAGTACCCAAACATAATATATTCCTTCTTTCTGGGTATAGCCTTTAGCAACTAATTTGGCTTTGTATTTCTCCAACTTCCCTTCTGAGTTTAATTTCTTCTTATAAATCCACTTGCTGCCTATAGGTTTTCTATCAGGAGATAGTTTCACTAGTTCCCACACGTTGTTTGGTTTGATTGTGTTAAGTTCCCAAACATAATATATTCCTTCTTTTTGGGTAAAGCCTTTAGCTACTAATTTGGCTTTGTATTTCTCCAACTTCCCTTCCGAGTTTAATTTCTTCTTATAAATCCACTTGCTGCCTATGGGTTTTCAACATAGTTATCGGAATCTCTTCTCGGACCCCGCGATTCCGGTTCCGAAACCCGTTTCCATGTTTTTGTTAGGGAAACTCCACGGAAACCGTTTTTTTGAACCAATGAAACTCAATTTTTTTATTTTGGAATCTTGATTTCGTACCTAGTTGAAAACCTTTTTTTTTGCAACATAGGAAACTCAATTCCTTAATTTCAGAATCTCGATGCCTCACATATGTGGAAACCTATTTTTGGAACCAAGGAAACTCGATTCCTTAATTTCAGAATCTTGATTCAACACTTCTTTTAAGAATTTTTTTTGGAGCCAAGGAAACTCGATTCCTTAGTTTTGGAATCTCGATTCCTTAATTTCGGAATCTCGATCCAACAGATCTAGAGAAACTTGAACCCCCTAATTGTGGGTAGACGCTTCCAAATATATTGAATCTGGCTTCTAGCGAGGTTTAAATCTTGATTCCATGTTAAATGATACACGATTCTACAAGTAATGGAACTCATTTCGACAGGGTTTTAATTCATCTGCACTGTATAAAACATTGGTTTCTTGTAATTAATAACCACAAAAGTAATATTTTATTTTCTAGTGGATATCATGCTTTAAGGTCCTAAATGATAGCATTAGGCAACATGTGTACTAGAAGGGGGTATTATTATTTATAAGGCATGTATTTTAGAAGGAATTTAATGAGATTGTGTTACTTTTTTAGTTATCTTTATTATGTTTCTTATATTTGCGTTAATGTAAACTGTTATAGTTTCTTGCTCTTAGTTATGTGAATTGCTTAAGTGAACTTGCACCACGTCTCGCCTTGCAACATTGCTTAGTACTGTACTACCGATTGCAAAATGGTTATTAGTAATGTTATTTTTACTCTTTTTTTTCCTGATTTAAATGCTTATAGAATAATGTTCCTTATATTTGTGGTGATGTAAATTGCCTTGGTTTCTTACTCTTGCTCATATGTTATGTGAAATTATTTAAATGCCCATAGGATAACGTTTCTTATATTTGCGGTGATGTAAACTGCCTTGGTTTCTGAATCTTGCTCATGTGTTATCTGAAAAGATTGCTTAAGTGATCTTACACCATGTGTAGCCTTGCAACATTGCTTAGTATTGAAATACTGAATGTAAAGCGGTTATTAATAATGCTAATTTTATTTATTCGCCTCTAATTTAAATGCTTATAAAATATTGAAATCATTTAATAACATATAAAGCAACACACATGGACTGACGATTCTACACAGCAACATATCTATGTACCACATATGTCAGAAACTTGAATCAAGGGATGTCGGAAACTCGATTCTGCGATTGTAATTCTCGATCTCAAACCGGCATGGATCTCCTATCCATATACTTCAGAAACTTGATTCCAAATATGTTAGAAACACGATTCCATAAATGATGGAAACTCGATTCCAAATATGTTAGAATCGCGATTCTATAATTGATGGGAACTCAATTTCGCATGTCGGTAACTCAATTCCGCATATGTCAGAAACTCGATTCCATAGATGACGGAAACTCGATTCCGCATATTCATGAAACTTGACACTTGGAGTGTCGAACCTAAGGGCATGGGAATCTCGATTCCATATGTGGATGAAACTTGGACCTATTCCGATCGATACTCGAT